ACAAGGGTAGTGGATCGATTGTAGGGAAAGCTGTATGAGGTGAGTATGAAAGAACTGGGTCTTTTCAGTCTGGAGGAGAATCCAAGGGGATCTGTTGGCAAGATATAGGTACGTGAGGGGGTGCCACATGGAGGTGCGTAGAGACCTGTTTTCCTCTGCAAAGGAGGGCAGAAAGTGTTCCAATGAAGCAAAGCTCAGGGAGTCAAGGTTCAATTTGGATGCCAGGAAGTACTTCCTGACAGTTAGGACCCCTAGCGTATGGAATGGGCTTCCATGGGAAGTGCTGGAAGCCCCACCAGAGAGGGTGTTTAAGGATAGGCTGGACATGCACATGGTAGGCATATCATGAGCAAAGCCTGCTGGAGCCAGGGGTCAGCTAGATGGCCCGGGAATCCCCTTCTGACTTGCTCTGTTTCTATGTTTCTATAAAACACTGGTAAAATAACTCACTGGAAGTTGCCTTAACATTTCCCTTTCTTTTGATGACTCAGAAGTGAGAGTATTCAGAAGACAAACTTGTACACTGCCCAGAGAGCTGCAGCTACTGGGCAGTACAGAAATAAAGAATAATTAGGATAAAGCCATTCCAAATATTATAATCAGCCAGATAACATTGACAAGAAAATTAATTTAGCAGCTGTCATTGCAAATTAGATACCAGGAAACTGAACCTAATTTCTGGCAAACAGTAGATATTAAAAGGAAGGTGTGCAAGGCCTCTGTCATATAGACAAAACTGGACAAGAAATTTTGATGAATGAGGTTGATTATGATGATACCAGTGAAGACTAGCAGTTCAAAATCTTCAAATCCACCTGCAGGCTAAGCTTTGGGTTCTGTACATACTTGTGCAGATTATGAGTTGGAGCCAAACTTGTGCTTGGCAGAATGTAGCTGGCCCTGAAAGGAAGAGGCAGCCAAGAAACTTTTTCATACTTTTCCTTTCTGATGCAACCCTCATGACCCTGAAAAGTTACTCCTGGAGTGCGATATCCTCTAGAACAGAGAGAGGTAGTCCTAGGGAAAAAAAGGGGGATTCATGAAATTCCCACGTAAGTCCCACTTTCTCCAGAGGAAGCCTCTAATGCATCCCAGCTCCCTCTGCAAACAGGAAAGTCTTTACAGAAGGAGAGGGCATCTTATATAGCCAAATGGGATCAAGTACACCAATTCTTAAGGGTTACACTGGCAGCCCATTTGCTTCCAATACAAGGTGCTAACTTTAAAGACCTGGATGGCTTGGGACCCAAATACCAAGGCCCACCTGTCTCTATACAAACCTGCCCAAAGAAGCTCTTCTCTGGTTCCCCTGCTAAGGGAAGCTGACTGTGCAGGAACTAGACTGAGGGTTGCAGGCTTTTTAAAAAATGTTACTTGCTAGTCACTGTTAGTCTGCATTACAAGCAACACATGCCAAAACAGTGGCATTACTACAGTTTTAAAATTTCTTGTAAACCACTTTGGGATTTTAAAATGGAAAGCAGTATATACATGCTCTAAAAATAAATAAAATACAGCTAGCAGTTTCCTCAACTGTGCTAGCAAGAGTCATTATAGTTGCATTCTTGTACAACTGATAGAGCTACAGCTTAACCGACTATCCCTTAACATTTTTAAAAGATCAGAGTTCTCAAAGTATAAGTAGGCACACTATAAAACATGAGGTACACGGACGTTCAGCATCATGTCTGAAAATATTAGCAAGCAGTATTTTCCTCTCATAAATGCCAGAAATCTGAAGGCATAGCAAGAGACCAACAACAAAAGTACTGTCTTTTATAATATCTAGGTTTTTTTATTTTGGACACCCCATCTCTCTGTATAATTATTCTTAAGCCTTTGTCTAACCTGAAGACACTCAAGGAAAAGCTCCCTTCAACCTCTTAAGCAAGATTCACAAGAAATTAAATTATTAATGATTATATTTATATCCTGCCTTTTTCCTTCCAAGGAACTCAAGGCATCTTATATAATTCTTTTCCTCATTTTCTCAATCTTATCCCCAAAACGACAACCCTGTGAGGTAGATTGGGCTGAGAGTCTGTGACTGCCCCAGAATTATCCAGTGAGCTCCATGGCTAAGTGGGGACTAGAACCCAGATCTGCACTGTTAACCACTAGACCACACTGGCTTGCAAGGAAAAGAATGCAGTTTTTATGGAAAATCTCCACAGATCTTTAAAAGAATTTCAGGCCTACCCAAGCCAAACAGTCTACCTTTGAAATTATTTGCTCAAATGCTAATTCAAAATGATCATAGTATAAAAAACAAACAAATCAAAACCACACACCTACACTAGACTCTTCCATGTCTATCACAAAGAGGTTCACATGTAAACAAAATAATAATTATATTCTACTGATATAAACATAGCCTTCCCCAACCTGCTGCCCTCTAGATATGTTAGACTATAACTCCCAGCATCCCAAGTTGGCCAAGGTGTTGGGGATGTTTGGACAGTTGTAGTCCAGCACAGCTGGACAGCACCATGTTGGGAAAAAATGATGTAGATGATCAGTGAATAATGCCATAGATCAGTAATTATCCATTTTAGACCCAGCAATCCTTAGAATACATATTCTAAAACTGAATTTTTCAAGGATTTATGAACAGTTCATACCCTAAGCCTAAAATGTACTGTGTAGACATTAAATAGCTAATTTGCACAGGAAGCAGAATGCATGACCTTTGTCAGACGCGGCACAAGGGGTACAAAAGATTGCTCTTGTACATCCTGTGGCCCTATGCAGTCACCTCTAAGAGTGTACGGGGGCTTGCATTCCAGCCAAGGTCAGACCCCCATTTGTATGATCCAGACCCATCTCTACTTGAGTGTGCACATGCCGCCACAATTATTTGGATATCATGGTGCCCAATGGGGTTGTGCGCAGGAAGAGCTGTTGCAATTGTATACACTTTTAGAAGCACTTATTAATACAGCTTGTGCCTCCACACATTCCTAGACAGGATGAAAGAATTGGCAGTTGTCCCATATGCTCCCAGAGCCTTAAAGGAAGTACAATAAAAATTTGTATTATTTGCACATACAAACTTTGCACATTTTCTCCACATCTCAGTTTTTTGACAAAAATAAAGACTCATTTTTGCAGTGCTTCAAAAATCTGGAAAATGTTATTTAACCAGACTATGCATGGTATTGTTAAAATGAACTACTTCTTGTATCAAGTCAAAAAAACAAGAAGCCCAAAGTCCATGGGATTTGTAGTATGAGTTGCATTATTTGGTGTTCCATATACAGCCATTATCCAATCTTCTACCAATCTCAGTGTTCAGGTTTGGTTTCTGGGGCAGAAAGAATTGTGTCTGCACATTAATATCTAACAGCAGGGAGAAATTAAAGAAAAGGCCCTGACTGACCAACTAAGTTATGGCTCATGGCCCATATCATAACCTAGACAAAGGAAAGAACAATTTATAAATTCTTTGAAATTTGCAATCTTGTGATCAGTTACGTGACACTAACAAAGTCAAGTATTGATAACATGCTGTGAACATTCTGTTCATTAAGCACATTTTAATTCATGGAAAATATCAATATATAGTAATCATTACTTACAGGGGGGAAAAGAATTGCCCCACCCCTCCCCCTTTTTTGGGCCAGTTTATTATACAGTGGTACCTTGGCTCATGAACTTAATCCATTCCAGGACTCTGGTCGTGACCCAAATTGGTCATGAGCCAAGTCAAATTTCCCCATAAGGTTCAATGTAAATAAGGTTAATCCATTCTGTAACCATTTTTTTAAAATTAGAAAAATGTGAAGCAAAGTGAACAAAAAACAACAAAGATCACAGTCATCTCCCCCCACCCCTAGCACAAATGCGGCCATCTCCCCACCCCCCAGCAGCACGACCGAGATCACGCCTGTAATCCCTGCATGTGCCCATCATCCCGGCGCGCTGGGGAGTGGGGGGGGAGAGACAAGCGCGATAGCAGGCACACTGGAGGATGGAGAGATGGGCGCAAGCACCGTGCTGGGGGACAGAGAGACGGGCGCAAACGGCATGCTGGGGGAGGGAGAGACTGGTGCAAACGGGGGGGAGGGGAGATGGCTGTAATCTTGGTTGCCACCCAATGCAGAGTTTGCAACCCACATCAAAATTTTCATAGAATTTTTGTTCACGACCCGATTTGGTCATGAACCAAGGCGCTCATGAGCTGAGGTACCACTGTACTCTGCTGGAAATAAAAAGATTAAAAAGACAGAAATTGCCGTGTTATCATTAGAAAGGGACAAATAAAGTTTATTATTCCATATCCAGACTTAGCTATACTTGACTTCTATAACCTCTGGGCATTAACAAAAGCATTTTATTTAAATTTAAATTGATGGCCAATTGCAAGAAAGTCCAATGACAAAACAAAATGAAAAAATGGCTAATCTAGAAAACCCACCACAGGAACATTTCCAAAAAGTTAAAAATAAATAAAATGACAAACTTGAAAGTAGCTGCTTTCATAGGTTAGGGACATTTAAAACTTTCAGTGGATAGCTTGAAAAACAGAAGAGAAGCTACTCTGAGAAAATGATCGTGATTTTGAAACTATCTGTAATGTCATAAAATAGTTTCAGGTTAATCTGAAAACAAGAACTCAGTATGTGGTCTGTGGGTTATATAAAGTATTGCATTAGGTTCTCTCTTTCTAAACTGTAAATTCAACACACATTATTTTAGAGGAAGGTTTCTGGGTACCAATGTGAAGATTACCTCATAATCACAATTCTTCAAGACTACATTTGGAAAGACTACATTTTGTTGTGAGCCGCCCCGAGGCTTTGTTGCGATGGGGGCAGCATAACAATGTTTTAAATAAATAAATAAGTCCGGGGTTTGAAGTTGGGAAGGGGTGAAAATGCCATGCCTATTAATAGTATTAATACTATTCTTAAGCAATAACAGTGTCTAAATGAAATGAATTAAGAAAATAGTTCTTCTGATACTTTGCCATAAAACTAGGAAAGTTTGGAAATACCTACTTTTCTCCTTTGAGATAAGCTGAGGGCAGCAAAGTCATTAAACAGGGATGAACCAGGTGAAGTGAGGGGATCTGCAAAAGAAGTTTTACAGAAAGAAAGAGAGAGAGAGAGGGAGGGAGAGAGGGAGAAGAAAGCCATGCGCACTTTAATACTCTATTATATTATTTTTTTTATTTTAATGTCCAACGTTTACAAACTAGAACAAGGATCCAGAAAGCTACATAATTCATGTCTAACAACACATAAGCTGCACTGGCTTCTTCACAAGAGGAAAAGAGGCAGAATATTAATGCAATGTAATAGTAATAAAGACACTAATGATGTTGTGTAAAAATGCACTTCCATTCCCCATCCCCCACATCATTGACTGATGGCATTTGTTTTGCACTGACAATAAGGAGGAAAACACAACTAGAAAATAAAGTAGGACTATGGTGTAGCAATTTAGTTGCACAGGATCCTTGTGGTTTAACAATATTCAGGTAATGTTAATAAATTTAAGACACACTGGAATCAGAGTTTAGCAGAGCACTGGCTAACTTCAGCTGAATTAAATTTCTTAACTACAAGTTTATTCTACATAACATTTAATTCTTATCTTCCTTGCTTACTTGTTCTTATAAATTCATTCCCATGTAGAAGTGAGTTACAAATGAAAATTTCTGGTAAAACCAATAGCAAATTCTAACTTTTCTTACATATAATTCATTTTAACTTACTATCACTATAAATACAGTTCCTTAACTTACATGTTTATCATGCACAGTTGCATAACTGGATTTCAGTTAGAGCTGGCGGCATCTATAATATCAGCATATACATGGCTGTATATTTGGCAGCATATATTTAAAAGTTTAAGTTGATTATATAAGATTATGCTTACATAGTTTTCATTCTAAATTATTTAAGTAAAATGGCCAAGAGGAAGTAGAAAGTTGGGGTTCATAAGAACCAATGCGGTTTCCAATTTTTAGACTAAATTCAGTAGAGCTGGGAAAGAGGAAGGCTTTGTTATGTTCTATAAACTGAAGTGGATTATTTTTAATTATGCGGCTCTTAAATATCAGGCATGAAATCAAGGCTTACTCTCATAATTATCTTAGTGACTGTTGTTAGCAATGTGCCTTAGCATTCCCATGCTCTCTGGTGTACCTAAAGTAACACTCTGAATTCTTGCCAAAGCTTTTTCCTAGCATTTTTTGTTTAACGATATTTATCTGCCCTTTGTTTGTTATACAAGTTGCAAACAATCTATGGAAAGCAAACAAAGCAAAAAGCAAAAGCGCATGTAAGTATGAAACAAATATTAAAACTGAAGACATCTGCAGTAAAAAAAAATAAAATCTATAACTGTAATTAAAATAAGAATTTTAGCATACCACATCCAGGTTAAAAATATAAGGTTTTAAAATTCCTAATTAAAAATATGTCAGCAGTGTTTGTTTGGGGTTTTTTTTTTTAAATACATGTATTTCTTACCATGGCCTGCATATGGCTTGGCACTGTCATTGAGAAGGCTTGGAGAACTGCTGCTATTTGTCATCCTCTGCAGAAAGTGAAAAACAAAATTACATGGTGTATTGGGATTGGTTTTTTAGCCCATGTTTCTATAATACGAAAATTGATTGATAAACACTTGTTACAAGATTGCGTAAATCAAACTATCTCTTCTCAAGGACAGAAATTGGACAAGTATTCAAATAAGGGAGTGTGTTCAAATAAGAGGCAATAGGAGGAATTTAGTAGCTAGTCAAAATATTTAATGTTCAAGCCATCCTATAGTAAATAATATTTTTCTTTTTCTGTATTGGAAAAAATATTTATTAAAAAGTTTATGTAAACATTATGGAACTCCAATAGCGGTACAGTAAGGAGATGGGGGGAGAGTTAAGCAGAAGAACTCACGGCGCAACAACACTTATAACAACAGAAATAAGTATATTTCTAGGATAGTATTTCAAATACAATTCATATATAGTAGTTTTAAAGTGAACATCTATATTTTTGTTAAATTTAAGGTTGCACACACATTTACTTTGAGAAGTTTGTGCAAAATATCTGAAACCATTTTACAAACAGGGAAATCCTACTTCCAATGAAAGAAATAGGACCTATAATGAAAAGTCTTTGCCAATTTATCACAACCCATTTTCACATAACTGAGGTGAAGTGAAAGTTTCATTCACTTTAAGAATTGAAGTTGCTAATGTGCCACGCAGAAAAACCTATTGGAACGTGTAAGCATTTTTCAACAGCTAAAAAGGATTTCTCCAAAAAAGTAAAGATTTCTATTCCTTTTTTGTCCTAGTTGAAAGCATCACACTATATTATTTTTGATAATACTTCAAGTCCCATATTAACAAACAACTCTCCAGATCTATGCCCCTTTTGAGAATGCACAAATTTTAAAATGTTTCTCAGTTAGCTGCTTAATTACATGTGAACAAGAAAAAAAGATTAAAGTAGAAGCTTGCACATTTTATACAATTCATCAGCACTCAATTTACTGCATAATTCTTCTGATAATCAAAGGGGAAAAAATCTGTTCAGCCTATGCACACTGAAGTCAAACAATAACGTAAACTCTTAAACTACTGATTTCAGAGGGAAATCTAGAAAAGCCAATCTATAACACAAAAGGCAATATACGGGGAATATATGAAACAATTTCTACCTGGTACAAAGGGGAGGACCCTAAGCATACACAGGGAAAAACCCCAATGACCTTATATGATAGATAAATATATATCCTGGATTTTACTGAACCCATACTTATTGGAAATTTGGGTAGTAGGTTATGGGGAGATGCCAGATATTGTGCTGAGACATGCACCACTTTCTACAAAGGGTAAGCTAAGGACACGTGCTTCTCATATGGTGTTGAAGCGTATGAAATACAAATTTTAAAAGTAGATCTGGGTTTCAAGAGGAAGTTACAACTACATATTGCTTTAAATCCTGAGTATAAAACAATTCCCCACATCTTAGTGGTCACCACTAGTTAGAACATACTGTTAAAAAAACTAAACACACACTAACTCTTTTCTTAACTTCCATATTACCAACATCACTCTGTTCCATGTTCATCCTTCTGAATTTCTTTGAATCAAATGCAACACACTTGTTGCTATGGATCCAAATAGGTCATAATGGTCTATTTAAATTGAAGACTAATGATAATAAAACTGGGGCAGACAGTCACCATACAGGTCTTATATAACAGTCACCATATTCAGGAGGTCTTGCTTTCTTTTAACTAAGTTTCTAAACATATAACATTCTCAAGTGGCACTTTTTCAGACTGACACTGAACTAAGGAACGAAGTATTGATTCCTGCTCTCTGAAATCAATGGCTCTTGTGGAAATTTCTGCCTTTTCTACAATTTTATGTGGGCATAGCACCTCTACTCTCTTAAGGAAAAGCATATTTCTGGCTTTTTCACTCGGGTGATAGGCCCAAAAGTCTGTGGGAGACCAGCAGAATTCTAAGGAGTGATATGAACAGGAATTCCAGTGGTTGGAATAGGATGTTGTTCTTCCCTCATTACTAGAATACTTCAAAATAAGCAATATGAAAATTAGTTGTTTTGAACTACTTACAAAGAATGAAGAACCAGGACATTTTCTGGACCAAAGCTTTTTGTTAGTTTATATTTTTAAGTGCAGAGTGCCAAGAATGTGCCCCACTGTTCAAATTAGGATAACTCTTGATTTTAATTTATACTTCAGTAGCATTCCTCCTTCTAACAGCCAGAAAGCTCACCCAACCAGACACATTTATTCTGAAATCTCTGAACGGAGCACATGAATAGCCGCTGCCTGCTTACCGTTATATCTTAGTTTCACTAGGGGATACCCAACACCAATCATTCTCCCACATACAAGCAAAAAAGCATCAATTAGCCAACCAGCCTAAGTCTGACTCGGATTTAGATCAACTGTGGATCTGCCTGCCCACTGAAAATACTAGCTGGTTGCATGAACCAAAGTGAATTAGAAACATTCTACATGCTAGAGATGTTATTATAAACCTTTAGAAAGATTTGAGCTTCAGCTGCTAAAGGACAGGCCTGTCAGAATAGTAAGGCTAAGAACTCTCTGGGTGAACTAAAAATCTTCATGTCAGAAGCTTAATGACTCACGTTTCCCCCTATATTATCCAAGCGACATAGGTTGGTATGGAGAAGGAGAACACAGCTGGGAAGCTGAAGGACCTTTTCTGTCTAAACAAGTATAGGACTGTACCCACAGATAAATGATATAAACTGGAGGTTATGAAGCATGGATTTTACAGCCTCACATTTAAAATTCCTCCTTGACTACTGACTTGAGCTATTATCTTTCTTGGTCTTCTCTTATTGACTTCTGTTTATCACAATGTGCCCCCAGTAAAACTGTATTCTTCTCTTTCAGAGGATTTCTTTGGTCAGTCATCTGCAGAGTATGTTCACACCAGCACTCATCAGCTTTTGCTTTGGTTCTGTCAATTCTCATGCTCTAACAGATTTTTGTGAGTTTCCTTATGCTTTCTGTACCTAGAACTAGAGGCCTGGGTTTTTCCAAACAAGTTTTAGATAAAGCAATAGATTAAGAAGGCAAGCTGTGTGAATGGCAGGGGCAGCGAGCTCAGTTGGGCAGATAGGGATATTTAAGTTGCTTAGTTGGCAGAAAAGTGATAACAAAGCTTTAATCTGAAGCTCTTTAACAGATTATACACATGTGCACACCCACAAAATAAGAATGCGACCACTGGCAAATCTCAAGATGTAACATGACCCATGCCTTCTTTCTTTCACAAGTAAGTATCAGATTGTCATTTAAAATGGTTGCTTGAACTGGCACTCTTATGTCTTACAATATAGGTATCCAGAGCATCTTGTACAACTGGTTCAGCATGAGGATGTGGACACAGTGCTCAGAGGGGCCTGGACCACTATCTGTGTTCTTAATCTTTGCCAATCTTGGCTAATTACATAAAGGTGAAGGAAAGTGATTGGGTAGAATCAGCTGCCCTGAAGAAACTCACCTAAGTGGACCAATGAAACACTCTCTCAACCCAGAAGACTGCAAAAATTATCACCCAGGTTGCAAACACCCATTCGGAGGAAAGGTGCTCGAAAGGGCACAGACAAGCCAACTCCAGGGGCTTTTCAATCAGATGGATTATTGAAGCCCATTTCAGTCAGGTTTGGCACTGAAATTAACTTGGTTGCCTGAAAGGATGGCAACTGTTGGGAAAGATGCAGAGTGAATGTGATTCTGTTGTGCTCTCTTTAGCATTTGATACCACTGTATGACCATTTCCAGAAGGTGGTACCAAGAGACTTCTGCTTGACCTCGTAAGCTTCCATTCTATCCCATGTGCTCTTTAAGATCAATATGAAGCCACTGAGCAAGGTCCTCTGAGAATCTGACGTGAAATGCCATCATTACACTGATAATTGTCCCTCTTTGACACTGGAGGCAAGAGTGGATATGCAGTTGCTTGGACAACTACATGGAGTAACGAGTTGAATGAGGACCAATATCTAAATCTTGACAAAATGAAGCTACTGTGAGTAAGTGGTTCTTGGATCCATAGAAATAGGGCTCATCTTGCTTTGGCACGGACTGTTCTCCAGGTTCAAAATTTAGAAATGTTCCTTGATCCAGTATTTTCACTTAGAGGCGAGATGACATTGCTGGCACAGATATCAGCTTTGGGTGGCTGGTCATCTGTAGTCATTTCTGGTAACCCAATTAGACTAGTATTATACATGGGGCTACCTCTGAAGACAGCTTAGAAGCTCCAATTCTTGAAGAATTTAGCAATCAAAATTTAACTGGCAGTGCTATATGGTTCACAACACTCCAATCTTAAAACTGCTGCACTGCTTACCTATGCATTTCTGGACTCATTAAAAGGTATTTAAAACCCAAATACTTTTAACACACGGCAGATTTGCACTACAGGAAATTACACTGCATTAACAGGTAATCCAAACTGAACAAGATGGAGGACAAATATCACCTGGATATATGCATCACCATTTGAGCTCTAGGAAACAGAATCAAGAACATAAGACCATAAACCATGCTGATCCATTCAATTCTGCATTCTGTTCATACAGTTCAAGCCCCTCAGAAACTGGTATATGCAGGTATGCCACCTCTGACAATGAGGGTAACACATAGCAAACAAGGATAGTAGCTATTGATAGCATCCTTCTGTATGAATTTTTCCAATCCCCTTTAAAGTCATCCAAATTGGTGGCCATCTCTACTTTCTACAGTACTGAATTCCATAGTTTCACAATTCGCTGTGTGAAGAAGTACCACATTTTAAGTGACTTAAATTAAGCCAATCACCTTCAAGAAAAGGACCCCAAAATGGTATTTTCAATTGCTATTTCAAATCTCTATGTACAGAGAAATTGGAACAGATGTCTGAGTTTAGCACTTTCTCCTGGTCAATGAATGGTCCCCATCTTCTCACCACATTGAGAAAGCAACAACTGAACCAAATGCTTGTTAAAAAAATATTGAGATTTTAAAGTGCATTTTTATGTGCACTAAAGGACAGAGGGTAAATACATGCAAAAACTTCTTTCCCTAACCTCATGTAACGACAAAGCAACACTCTAACAGCTTATAGAAAGCAACACCTTAACAGTTAAGCATTGTATATACATTTCTTGTATAGCTTTTAAGTTTGCAGAAAAAATGTTTTCTGCATTGTTGTAAGTCCCTTCTGCAAGGTCTCCCAGATTTGTTGAAAGAGTTAATTTACTGCTGCTCCATGGACAAGTAGTAAAACAGATGTAAAATTAGAATAAACCAACTAGAAACAAACTGATCTGCTGAAGAAATATATTTTAATTCTCAATATACCTTAACCTAGCTGCTTCCCAAATCAAGCATTACCTGCATCATAGGATACTTTGTTTCAGCAGGACTTCCAAACCCATTAACTCCAATGAAGCTGGTACTGAAGTAGGAATCTGTAAGACTAGCTTCAGCAAGGGCACCTCCATCTATGCCTGGAACTAGAAGGAAAACAAATTCAAAAGATTATCAGCTTTGTAGGCCCTTTTCCTCAATAGCATACAAGCTGAACTTTTTACAGCTGCCTACCTAGACACAGGCTCCTGCAAACAAGCAAGAAATTGTTCAGTGACCTGCTGCAGGATACTTATCAACTTTGCAATCTGCATCTGACTTTTAGTGATGAGCAGCTGTCCTGGACAAGACTCCCGTGGCAAAGTATACCTGTCTTAGGATGGCATATCATATATACCAGCATTGTACTGTACTTTGTTTAACAAAAGGTCACACATTTGCCTTATTCAGGCATTTATACTCATGCAATTATTATTACTACTGCATGAGGGAAAGAACAAAGCTGCACTTACTGGCAGCGCTTGCCAGCTCCACCTCTCACCATTCACAAGTTCGGAGGTTCCAAATCACACATATACATATATGCATAGAACAGTATCCTCACTTCAGGTCTCCACCACCAACACATGGAAAGAAGATGGAAAGGTGCTTTAAACTGAGTCAGATCTCACCTAATATTGTCAATACCGGCAGCAGTTACTTTCCAGGGCCCCAGGAAGGATTCTTTCACAGCCCTACCTGGCGATGTCAACACATGACCTGGAAACCTTCTGCACACACAGTACATGCTCAATGGGGTGGGCAACAGGGACACAACTGAAAGGGTAGGGCCAGCAAGCACGATCTCATGTTCTTCTTCAGATGAATCGGCACATTTGCACAAGGAGCTGACTTCCTGAACATGACTTTTGTGGTCTGGACTTCTGTACATCTTTCTTTTTCTCTCTCACCTACCAGCCTTAAAGAATCAGTGGTCCTTTCAACTGGGAGGAGACGGACAGCACATGTGCTCAAACCTACAAATCACAATTCTATTTTCCAAAAATTACGCTCAAGTGGCTGGGCTCTGTTCTCTAAAAGAAAGGGAGCTATCAGCAGGGCAAGCAATGGATGTAGTAGGAAACCATGAACAGAGCTATTGGTCAATGACAGTCCATATGAAATTAAATAGAGAGCTTGAACTGTTTTTAAGGGACTCTAGAAATAACGCACTATTTGCTGTATACTGAAAAATTACAGATATCTTCATTTTAGTTACCAGAAAGTAAGTGTTGTCTGATAGCAGGAAATACAAAAAAGAAAGAAAGAAAGTTCAGGAAATACTTGCTAATGAAGATAACCTGCTGAGGCACTGTTGAAGAAGGCAGCTTTGAAGGAAAACCAGGGGACTGCTCAGTGAAAGAGATGAAGCATGTTTCAGAGTGCAGCAGAAATTAGGAATACAAAAGCAAAGATATTCAGATATTATTCCTCTCCCAATTTTTGCCACCAAGTTATCCAAGGAGAACAGGAGTTCACGTACACACAGGATTTCCCAGTTCAAAAAGTACCTTCAGTGTGTGGGAGGGAAGTGATGAAACAACTATGTGAACCTAAAATCTGTCCCCAATCTCACTACACATACAGAAAGGGGAACATCCAAACAGGCCCAAAGAAGATCTACTGACAGATATTATATTCTTGCCAGAAGACCTACCTGATGTTTTTCCTAATTAGCAAATCTTAGAAATTGTATGGTCTGTCAATTTTAGAACGGATGAAGTCTGGAGTAGTCTAGATTTTAAAAGAATTTTAAAAGCTTGAGTTCCACAGAAAGGGTGTACAACACATTACTTCTACATTTTCAATAAAAGGGCAACATTACTGAACCCAGTTAAACTGCACTAGACATTTGTATCTACTTTTTCAAACAGCGTAAGATGAAAGAATTCCAACAAAACCTTGTTACTCACTTTCATCTGTTTTATAACTACGATAGCATATATAACTAGAGAAAATTGCTCTCAATTTAGCAGAGATGGTGTAAGTTATGTAGGGCTTACGGCTGACCTATTTCTGTTTAGAACCTCAACCATATGTTTATATCAAGAGCACTGCTTACATTATTTAGTTCATCAAACAAGAATGCTGCACTTTATGGCTTTATGATTCCAAAAAAAAATCAATATCCTTTACAGGAACAATATTTATAGTAAGAAGTTAATAACTTATTGCCTTCTGTTGACTTGAATTAAAATCACTTCAAAGTCGTAAGATATGATTATGGCTTTTAACAAAACAAACAGGAAGACATTATTTTCCTAAACTGCTGTGCACATCACCAAATCCTAAAGACTTGGGACATTTAACGTGCTTATGCAGATCATCAATCGATAGACAGATTCTAAATAACCTCCAACTAGTTCTGTTCCAGTCCACTTGAAAAGATTTTCCAATGCCCACCCACCCTTCAGAAAAAAAAATGCACAGACTGCCTTTGCTGAATAACCAGAGTAACAGCTCCATCATTATGAAGAGTCACTAACAGAGACCTTTATGAGTACTTATCATTAAAATACGTCTAATACATATGGCATTGTGAAGTGGCAGAAATGATAAGTACATATTAAACATCACTGATCTAAACAAATCCTAATTCTGAAATATTAATAGCATTTTATTTCAAACAGAAGCTAGCAACCTTCAAATGCCAAGAGCTCTATGTTTAGTCCAAGCTATTGCTGCTGCATCTTCTCAAGATTAAGAAATAATGCCAACTGAACTTTCTATATGGAATCAATTTTCTTTTCACTGTATCTCTATCTGCACACACCCCATCCTCAAGGTTTCAGTATCCTGCACACTCTCTTTAAGAAGCTTGTACTTCCAGCACAACCTATTTAAATTATGGATTAATCCAACTTCTGACCCATAACAACCCACCAACTGAAGATGACTGTGATCTTTAGGTACTTTTGGTAAACCCGCTAACATTTGAAGCAGTATGAGAAGTGATTTAAAGTCAAAATTAGTCATTCCTGTCCCTGAAGACAGGTTTTATAAGAGCTAATATATGTAATATTCTCTAAAAGTGTTTTAGAGATACATTAAATTACACTAGAGGGCCAGTGTGGTGTAGTGGTGAAGAGAAGGTGACTGGGACTCAGGTGATCTGGGTTCTAGTCCCCTCTCACTCATGGAACCAACTGGATCAAAGACTCTCATCCTAGCCTATTCCAGAGGGTTGGTGCTGGGGGGGATAAGAGCAAGAGCTGGAGGAGGAGGAAAACTGCTTTGAGTTCATTGTAAGGAAAAAGTGGGATATAAATCAAATAAATAATACACATGTATCAGAGCATTAGTATTTATGATTGCAGTCCCTGGTACATTTACCTTAGATTTATTTCCCAGCATATATACTTAATGTAACAAGAATAATAAATTTATATCCTGTCTAATTATGGGAGCAACTATTCTTTTAATGGTGTAAAGTGCTCTAAAAGTGCAATGCTATGCATGTTTACTCAGAAATATGTTCCCCTATATTCAATGAGACTTAGTTACAGGTATGCGTGCAGTAGACTGCAGACTTTCCAAATACCAATTATTATTACTTTGTCTAGAATTCTGCACAGTTTGGTAAACAACTCTCGTAGAACCCATACCTGACAGGTTCATACAACATGACAATCCCCAAGCAAGCCTGGATATGTAACAAGTTGCCTGTGGGTGACACAGCTCATTGTGGGTCAGATGAACCACAACAAGCCTTAGTGTGCAGTCCAAGCATCTCCACATGCTATGGTGTGGCAATTTTTAGGTAGCACTGCACCACACACTAGCGGCATTCATGCCCCATATCTATATGTTTCCATTCAACTCATTTAAAAAAGAAAAGTTATTTGAGCAACTAGGTACCCATATTTCTAAGGTGAAAACTGTCAGAAGTACAAAAACAAGTAGATCAACATGCATTTCCTAATTCTGTGAAATGAAAAATGCACAAGATGCTGGAAGTCAACTGACTTCAACTGCCACATCATTTATATTCTTTTAAGTCATTACATATGGTAGCAGAAACACATATGCCAGACTGACCCAAATATTCATCCATGCAGTAAGATTTATTACTCTATTTCTTTCAATATTTTATCTATTTAAAGTCATAACATTTTAACAGGTGTTCCTTCTAATTTTTTCACTGTGATTAATATCACCTTGCTATCTGCCTATTTCCCCTATTTTACCCTCCCCCTGGCCAATTCTGGGTGTCATGTTTAGGACCAAAAGAAGTCATACAGTTCCCACAAGTGTAAGCTAGCTGGTTTGGGGCATGCTAGGAGTTGTAGGGCTCCCCCACCCCTGCTCACTAAACACCCACAGAATTGCATTTTTATACTATAACCTGTATTATGAAATTTTGCTAGTCTCCTATTGCCTTTTTAACTACATTTCTTACTCAAATACAGAGTTTTAACTAGCCTCTCTGAACCTTTACCATCATCTTTCCATAGATAACATTCTCATATACTCCACTGGTTAATACTGTCAAAAATACCATAGTCTGCCTAACAGTTTTACTTCAATCAGCTGCATCTCATTCACCTTTCCTCTACACAATCAAACAGCTTTTCTTTTTCTACATATTCAAACACTGTTTTCTTATGAATACATATTCCCATATACATTAAGAATATGAGCCCATCATTCTGAAAATTCAGTGGCTCCTTCCTTCTACAGAAGATAGCATCACCAACCATTATATAAATTAATCATTATTTAAGCCACAATCCTATCAGGATGCTCATAAGCCACTGAACTCTGAGGCTTACAGACCTCCCATGCAGAGCGGAGAGACCAACAGAGGCAATCCATCACCCTGTCCTCCCATTCTAAAGAGCGGAGAAATAGGCCTTTTGCACCCTTCTAGCTGGGACACTTCAGTGGAAAAGGAAGGAAGACTGGAGCAGTTTCAGGATAACTTGCATCCTGGCCTCTCCAGCTTCCTCCTTACTCTACCCCTTCTCCATGACTGCTTTCTGACCTCAAAGAGCAACCAGTGGTTCTCCCACACTGAGAGGAAAAGGGGGATTCAAGCTCCAACTCCCAACACTGAAGCTAGAAACTTTAGTCTCTAGCTTTAGAACTGGGAATCCAAAGTATCCCCCTGCCCCAAGATAATGTCAGAACCTTTCCTTCCATGTAATTTCAACAATTACTTATGTCCTTCATTTTCATACTGTATGCCTGTTTACCCGTATTTATGTTAAACAACATACATCTAATTATCCTTCAGATCCTGAAGCTATGGAATGCTCCCTTCATCTCTTAAGGGCAGTATCATATACATGTTTATTATTTGTTTATTTAATTTCTATACCACCAGAAGCTGTCTTTTCTATTTCTACCATGCTTTCAAGCACACTGTTGGCATGCAATCTTATGCATATTTACTCTGATGTAATCCAAATGGGTCTTACTCCCAGTTAAGTGTGCCTAGGATTGCAGCCATAAACATGCACCTTATGGCAGAGGAAGGGAATCCGTGGCCCTGCAGATGTGTTGGCCTACAGCTTCCATTAATCCTTACCAATGGCTATGTTGGCTAGGGCTGATGGGAGCTGTAGACTACAACATCTGCAAGGTCACAAGTTGTCCACCTCTGCTGTATGAATTCAAACTGTGCCAGAATCTGATTGTTTCCTTAAAGCAACCCAAATGTGAAGATTTTAAAAATGTGTTTAACTTGCTCTCCTTGCTGAACTTACCCTACTTCCCTGTTCTTTCTCTGCAAAAAAAAAAAAAAAAAAAAATCAGCACTAATTTACAATCACCATCCATGTACTCAAGTTGTCAGGTACCAAATATTGCATTTTCCAATGATTTCAAACACATTAAAGAAGCTGAGGTCTCAAGTAAGCTTAGTTAAACAGTCACTAAGGAGAAGAACTCTCATTTTAAAATTAGCAATTCTGTTTTTTAAATGATATAAATGTAACAGCTATCCTTCAACTGTATCATACAAGCAAATGTGTTTAATGAAGAACAACTGTTTTTAGGTGTCACATTATCAAAAACCCAGATAATATCTCTGTTGGCACCTATTTTAACAAGTATTTTATACTGAGAATACACAAATGAATCTTGTGAAGTCATTCCTCTGTTAGGCCAAATAACTTCACTGACTCTAATATCAACATGAACATTTTGAATTAATTGTAATAATTTCATTCCAGATCCTAGGAAGATGCTGTGCATGGATATAAAGACTTTCCTTCACTGTTCAATATAAAGTCCTTCTCAATTCAACTTGGAAGGTCAACCATTGCTTTCTTTTTTCTTTTCCAGACCTCATCAGCACATATTAAAGATGGTAGGGGTTTCATCTGCTGAAAGTAAATATCCAGGTGAGGGCATCAACTGCTCACAGCTGCTTTGCCTACAAAAAGTGTATATTGATGGAGAGGATAGCAATACAGCTACTGTCATGAACAGATTCCACTTTTGAGGAATAAGACAACACATGCGTCTGAAAGGACTGCACAAAACAGCCAACTAGTATTGCTATAAATTCTGTAGAAGTTAAAGACAGTTATTGGTTTCACCAACTTTATTATTCCATCTCAAAATATGTAGTATGCATATTGTGGGAGCTATAATCTATAGAAAGCAATAACTTATCCTCAATTAATCAGGGGTTTGATTATAACAGTACAACCAATTCCTGTCATCAAAGTTTCTACTGAATGGCAGAAAGTTGCAATCACACAAATTTCTAGCCTCAGGTGTACTAGTACGACACCCAAATATTGTTACTATATTTTGGAACAAAAATAATAAAAAGATACATAACTTATGGGTTGTCTGGTAATTTAGGCTCAGAAAGATAACTAACAAAATTATTGTATTTATATCCTTTATTTTTCCCTGCAAGAAACCCAAGGCAGCTTACTTAATCTTCCTCTTCCTCCTATGTTATCCTCACAACAACCCTGTGAGGCAGGTTAGGCTGAGTGTCCATCTCTGGCCCAAAGTCACCCAGTGAGTTTCACGGCCAAGCTGGGACTCTAGAATCCAGATCTCCTATCCAAACCACCATACTATACTGACTCTTGATATAGATATAGCAAGTGAGAGCCAGTGTGGTGCAGTGGTTAAGAGCACGAAACTGGAAGTCCGGTGATCTGGGTTCTAGCCCTGCTTGGTCATGGAGCCAACTGGGTGACTCTGGGCCAGTCACAAACTTTCAGCCCAACGTACCTCACACAGTTGTTGTATGGATAAGCTTGAGAGCAACAGGAAGAGAATAATGTAAGCCACTTACATTCATTGTGGGAGAAAAGTGGGAGACACATCTAATAAATAAATAAATACAGCATAGCTGCAACATTTCTCACATATTATGATATATATCTAGTTAGGATGATCTTCACTTTGCTAACCAGTTTACAGGGTGTTTCTATGAAGATATCTGATTATGATAGATGATGAAACTTGGCATTATTGCCAGAACACAACTAAATTCAACACATGACAGAACTGTAAAATGGAATACATGGATAGTGCAATCCACATTGCTACAACTTCCACAACATAGTGAATTTCATTATCACCTCAAGTAACAATCAATATGTTTTCCACCTTATAAAAAGCTCAACATTAGTTTAACTGCCCTACCATATTACCAACAAGCTCAAAAGTAACAACTTGGTATTTGCATGTTTTCAGTCATTCAAAATGAAAATGCATCCTTGCAACAATCCTGCTAAGCTAATATAATCATTTTCCATAATACTGATAAAGGAACTAAAGCAAAAGAGAGTTGTTTATCTACTAGTGAGTTCATGGCAGATGCAATACTTGATTCAAGGACTTCACAATCCATAGCTCAGTCTCTAAACTACTACATCGCCACATAAGAGCTCAATATCACATACTGAATCATTCACATTACTGAATTCAAGGTGGGCTTCCACTACAACATGCCTGCATGCTGTAACCTTGCAGTTAGAAAGGTATCCATGTGAAGCTGTCCAAAGAGGTGGCTTTTTTAACTACAAGCATTCCAGCAATTGTGAGTTTAGTTTTCTTACAAAACAAAACTACCCAGTTTAAATGACAGTTACACTGCTAGTGACTTACAATTCTTTTTACAACTCCTTTCCTTAAAACTGTTGTACCTTGAAAGAAGGGGGAATTTATTTATACTCTTTTCCTTTTTGTGTGCAATACAAACAGGAAAATAAGTGCTAAAAGCTGTTTCTTGGTTTATCATTCTGGAAGTCTGGTTACAGCAATAGCTAAACATTGTAGTTGTAAATTATTGCCCATTTTTTTCCAATTGTTACAAAATTTCAGGTTAAAATGTCTGGTTAAGCAAACTTAATTGGAAGTTGCCATGAAGTGAGCAGAAAAACTTACAGAAAGGGCAGGACAAGTTGTTAAACCGAACTTTGAAAGAACTGTAACAAGCTTTGTTGAGTCCTTAAAAAAATAGTGCTGTCAAATAACCATCCAATAACCCAAGGTATTATTTCATTACTTCTGAATCACTCAGGAGGAGCGAGATACTTTTCTAGTGGGAGTGGGAGGAAAAGCCAGGTCAAGTTCTCACATCTTGGTTTCCCAAACTGAATTTGGCTCCATTTTGGTCCAGTCATAGAACAGCAGAATTTCATTTTAGGATTACAAACATTGGCACACTTGGTGAATCCAAAGCAAACAGGTAGCAAAACATCTTTGTGTATACATGACAGATGGGTTCTGGAATAGCCTACAAACCTGCTCAGAAATCCTGGGCCACCATGATTTTTGCCTCCCACCACTGTTTAACAGGTTATCCCCATTTGGTGATTGGTTTAGAGTCCCCTGACACCTCTCTGCCCTGAGTCCCAGCCTTCATATGTGTGTGCATTTATTTATACGGGGAGAGATAAAGATATACAAAAGGCATTACCACACCCCTTTTACCACTTTTTTCCAAAGCAGCTTCACCCGACCACATCCACAGCCCACCAGAATTCCCAGACTGTGCGGGAGAAGGCAGGGGCAATATCCACAGCCTCCCGAGCTGTTTTACCTCCAACAGCGTAGGCTGCAACGCCTCTCCTTGTCTAGCCACCCATAGCCCACCCTTTACTGGAGCATGCAACCACCTCAGGAGGCTCCTGACATGCCTGCCTCCGCTGGAAGAAGGCCATGGAACCCAAGGCCCGGGCCAGAACCGTCCGGAGCCCTTTTTCTACCGCCCTCCCTTGCTCCCCGCACAACGCAGGAGAAGCTGCCGACCCACACTCACTGGCCAGCCGGGGTCCGTCCAGCCCCCCTCCGCCGCCGGCTGCTCCGTGTCCGCCGCCTGCCCCTCCGCCTCCTCCCACCAACTCGGGGGGCTTCTTAGGCCCCGCCACCGGCGCCGCTGCCCCATGCCCCGGGTAGCCACCGCCGTGTCCGGGCGAGGCAGCGACGGCAGGAGCAGCGGAACCAGGAGCGAGCCCAAGCGGAAGCCCTCCGAGGGCGACCGGCGGCGGAGGCCCGGGACAGGCGGCAGAGGCTCCGCCGGGCTCCTCGTGCAGGAACTGGCACTCCTCGCCGTAGAAGCACGTCTTGTCCTTGGCGTAATAGCGGCAGAACTTGAGCTTCAGCCCGCCGGGCGCCGCCGCCGTCGGAACCCCCGGCCCCGGGGGCGGCCCCACCGCCGCGGCAGCAGCCACCGGCGGGGAACAGGGGAGCCCGCCGCTGTTCATGGCGGCCGCTACAGCAGCAAGGCCACCTGAGGAGGAGGAGGAGGAGGCACCGCCACTGTCGGCCGCAGCACCATGGGGAGGCAGGCAGAGCGCGGGAGGAGCGGCAGCCGTACCACGGCCGCCGCTGTCACACAGCCCGAGTCCCGGCAACGGGGAAGGAAAGGGGGGCGGGAAGAGGGAAGGGACGGCCCGGGTGCTTCTCCCAAGGGGGCCCAAGGAGGCCGCCGAGGAACGCCAGGCGAAGCGGGGCACGCTGGGCCTTTGGCCAAGCTAGTCCATGGTCCCGGCGGCGGCGGCGGCGCGGCGGCGGGGTTGTTTATTCCATTTTCCTCTTCCTGAGCAGCCTCTTCAGCGCGCTTGCGCCACAGAGAGGCCCGCTGGGTAATCCGGGCCTGGAGCAGCAGCAGGCGCTTGCAAGGGCCCGGCCCAGCCCTGTTAGGGAGGGAGGAAGGGAGGCGTAGCGCAGCGGACGGAAGTCATTTTCCTCTGCGCGTCTCGGCTAATAGGGCCTTTGTGGCCTGCTTTTGCAACGCACGCACCATATCTTGTGTGTGGCAAGGGAGCAAAGCCCTTGTTGCCTCTGCAGAACCGGAGCTGAAGTCATGAAAGAGTATGTTGCCATCATTTATGGCACAACGCTGTGACTGCTCGTTTGGATGTGAGTCCCAGGGAATTCTCGTGGGGCTTACTGCCAGATCAGCACTTTTGGCAATGTAATCCTGTGCCTTTACTCAGATGTAAACCTGCTGGTATACAGTGGGACTTGCTTACAGGTAAACAGGTAGAAAATTGCAGTTTTTCTTTTATGGTATTCTACCCTACTGCATTCCAGGTTTAGAGTCACCATTTAAGCATTCTGTAAAAGACTAATTTGCAGAAAATTTGCACGTGCTATATTATGTACAGAGATGCACATTTAGGGAAAAAAACTATTATTTTAAATGCAGATATTTATATAGAGAGAAACAAAGGTGGCTATAACTATTTTAATTATACAAGCTATAATTATAACTACAAGCTATTTTAATTTATTCTGGGAAGGTGGAAATCTATAAATAAAATCTCTGTGCTATTGGCAGAAGTGTGTTATAAACTTCTATGTAATATATATTATAAAAATACATAATATAAACACATGCAAATACTATAAACGATATGGTATATATTTAATATATTGTATACTGCTTTTGTATTGAAGCGTTTTTGTGTTACTATTTTTGTAAACAGTCTTGAGATGTCATTGAAATACCAGACAATATATAAATGTTTTTAATAAACACAAAATGTAAAAAAATTAAACTGTGAAAGTAAAATTTTTAATAAGAACTTTTGGTATGGGATATTTTACTACCTCAAATGTAGTACTACCTCAAAACAAATGTAACCCCAGGATACCCAATGGTTTGTTTCAACCTAATGACACTCAGAGCACTTAAAGCTTCTTTCCTGGGCTAGTTTCTGTGGAAGAATCCATGGGAACATTTTATATTACATACGTTTTGGTCATAAATATACCCCAGAGTCAACGCAATATTTTTTCCCCGGGGTTTTGTTTTGTTCCCAGAAAGGAAACAGTAAGTTATCAACAAGTCTTCAAAATTGAAGATGTTTTGCATGTAACAATGCAGCAATATGTTATAGTTCTACTCCTGTGTAAATCCTGCACTGTAATGTGCCCCTCTAGCAGGTTTGTCGATGCACTGTATTGGATGATGATAGAGATACACCTCACCATAGAGAAGAAGAGTGATTAGGTGACCTGACTGCCTGCTCTCCTGGTGCTAACTTGAAAGCAGCGGCTAAGGCACCTGCAGCTCTGCCTTATTATACTAGTTATCTCTGGATAGTACTTTAAATAGAAAATGCTTTCAGTTGAGGGCTGACACCCCTTCAAATAATGGACTGTCTTGTAAAATAGGGTACATGGAGGTCTTAGCCAACTTAAGTCTTCTTTGGTCCTGCGCGGATTTTCTGCTGCATGCAGCAAGAATAGTATAGTTATTTCCATACTGCCCAAAAGAGGATACACTCACTAAAAACAGCAAAAAAGAGCATACAAGTTTATATAAAATGAGCATGTGCAATTTTGTGACTGCAGGGGTAAGCAGTGAAGTAAGCAGTTGCTCATGTCACCAAACTACTAGTTAAAATGAAAAGGATTTGTGAGGAGCTGCAAAAGGAACTTTTCAGACTGAGAATGGGCAACTGTAGTTTAGATATGCAGATGATACCACACTAATGGCAGAAAGTGAAGAGGTACTAAAGAGCCTTTTGATGCGGGTGAAAGAGGAGAGTGCAAAAGTTGTCTTGAAACTCAACAGTAAAAAAACTAAGATCATGGCATTCGGTCCTATCACTTCCTGGCAGATACATGGGGAAGAAATGGAGGTAGTGACAGATTTTATTTTCCTGGGCTCCAAGATCACCGCAGATGGGGACTGCAGCCAAGAAATTAAAAGACACTTGCTCCTTGGGAGGAAAGCTATGGCAAATCTAGACAGCATACTAAAAAGCAGAGACATCACCCTGCCAACAAAAGTGCGTATAGTCAAGGCTATGGTTTTCCCAGTTGCAATGTACAGCTGTGAAAGCTGGACCATAAGGAAGGCTGAGTGCTGAAGAACTGAGGGCTTTGAATTGTGGTGCTGGAGAAGACTCCTACGAGTTCCTTGGACCGCAAGGCGATCAAACCAGTCAGTCTTAGAGGAGATCAAGTCTGACTGCTCTTCAGAAGGCCAGATACTGAAGATGAAACTCAAATACTTTGGCCACCTAATGAGAAAGAAGGACTCCCTGGAGAAGAGCCTAATGCTGGGAACAATAGATGGCAAAAGAGGAAGGGGACGGCAGAGAATGAGCTGGATAGATGGAGTCACTGAAGCAGTCAGTGTGAGCTTAAATGGACACTGGGGGATGGTGGAGGACAGGAAGGCCTGGAGAAATGTTGTCCATGGAGTTGCAATGCATCAGAAATGACTTCAAAACTAACAACAACAAAAGTTCAGTCTAAGCAAGTGTAAAGTAATGTATGGTTTGGCAAAAAATGAGAACTTCAAATATAAGCTGATGGGATCTGAGCTACAAGTGACTGACCAGGAATGACATGGGGGGAGCGGGGGGGGGGATAGGAGCAGCTTGATGAAAATGTGGACATGGTGTGCAGCTGCTATGAAAAACGCAAACTCTGCATTGAGCATAATTAGGAAATGAGTTGAAAATGAAATTGCCAGTATCATACTGCAGACTTACATAAATTTATAGTATAACCACACTTAAAATATTCTGTGTAGCTCTTGACACCACAACTAAACAAGGATATTGTAGAAAGAAGGAAAGAAAAGAGCAACTAAAATGATTAAGGGGCTAGAGTAATTCTCCTGTGAGAAAAGGTCACAATAGCTAAAATTATTTAGCTTAAGAGAAGACAAACAAATGAGTGGAGACATAATAGAGGTGTACATGTTTTGGAGAAAGTAGAATGGGAGATAATTCTCTCCCTTGTAATACTAGAATTCAGGGTCATCCCATGAAGCTGATTGGTGGGAGATTCAGAACAGACTTCTGAACACAGCTACTAGTTAAACTATGGAATTCAATTCTGTGAGATGTAGTGATGGCCACCAATTTGGAGGGCTTTAAAGGAGGATTAGATACATTCATAGTGGAGAAAGCTATCAATAGCTACTTGTCCAGATGGCTATATACTACCTCAGGCACTTTGGGCAGTATGCCTTTGTACACCAACTGCTGGGAACTTTGGACAGGAAGGCACTGTTGTTTTCATGTCCTGTTTGCAGGTTTCCTGTGGGCAGCTTGGCCACTGTGTAAATAGTTTCTTCAAAGTTGCCATGGAGCATAGCAAAACAGGACTGCTATTTTGTTTCAGAGCAACAGCAGCAGTGGTGGGAACGGGGACAGGAGCACTATGCTGAGGACATGCCCAGAGGAGTATGTGGACCATTGAGTGAGAGATAGGCAATGTAGGCAGGAGCAGTGCACCCTGGGATTGAATTTCAGCTGTGGAGGCTGATGGGAAACCAGCTGCAATTAGAAGGAATGATAGAGGGTGGAAACCATGCAAGCATGGAAACCAGACAATTGTCTGAACCCAAGAGCCAGGTAAGAAACCATGCTGCACAGTAACCACAATGCATGGTCTTGTATTACATGTGAACACAGGCAACATCTGAATGGGTAATGTATAGATGCTACCTTCCAATGGGTATTATTTGAACATCTGATCTGCTTTTGTTGAAGCTTATGTATAATTGCCAGAAGGCTGCATTTTCATATATTTGCATTGCTATGAATAGGGGGCACGGTGGCACTGCAGTTTAATGATAATGGATTTCTCAGCCAGAAATGGTCGGCACTCTGGTGGTTCGAGCCTGGCCCTCAAGATGGAGTGAGCCCCTGGTGCTTGTCCCTATCTCCTGTTCACTTAGCAGTTTGAAAGCATACCGTGAGTAAATAATAGGGACCACCATTCCCAGGTGGTAAAAATGCTGGCTACATTCGTGTGGAAGCAAGGACCGGCGCTGGATCTGTCTGGATGGGTTTGGCGAAGGATTGGCGGAGGAAAGCCCCGGAGGAGTCGACTTCCTCAAAAGTGTTGCCAGCCAACTGGTGTTAAGCAAGTGGATCTCCCCCTGTGGTGCACCAGTGCAAGAAAAGACAAGCAACTGTCAGCTGCCAGAACAGCTACTGTGTGTAAAAAACATTGTAGATTCCCCGGCCATGTATGCCATATGCTAAATAAATTGCTATGAATACATGCCAATATATGTATATTTTTTAAAAAACTGGAAAAGATAAAAATAAGGCAAAATAAAACTGCTGCATTTCCTTTTGCAGCATAAGAACTTTTTTAATATTAAGAAATAAGTCAAGAGGCCCCAAGAAGTGCCTGTGGTTATAACCGGTGACCCTAGTTCTAGGCCATTCCTTTCCACAATATAGGAAATCCAAAGCTAGGACAGCCCCAAAACTATCTGACCAGCTT